GTCGGAGAAGGTTCCCACGCAGGCCGCACTATGTGAGAATCAAGGTGAGGCCAGCAGCAGGACGAAGCCTAGATCTTGAATTGGGAGTTTCCCCGCCGTCCCCCCCTCTCACCCTCGTGTTAAGCCCGTGCAAGCTTGCTTTCAAGAACATCGTGCCATCAGTAGAAATTGCTTCAACACTCACATGAATCTTTTCAAAATCCATCATACATGCATTGAGTTTGCAAATTTGTCCGCAGCCTCCCACCCTCCCTCCCTGGGTTAAGCCGCGCAAGCTTGCTTCAGAGAACAACGACCCATCAAGAAGAACAGAACGGTTGCAACATCCGTGTGACTGATTTCAAAATGCACCATACATGCATTGTGTTAGTGTTGCTGTGCCCTCACCCCCACCAACCAGCTGTTTGAGCCGTGCAAGCTTGTTTTGAAGCAGATCGTGCTATCGAGAGGAATACCTACTCACCCCAACCCCCGCGCTGCGCAAGCTTGCTTTTCAACAACATCGTGCCATCGAGAGGACTTTGAATAGCTGCAACACCCATGCGAACCTTTCAACACCCATCATACAAGCATTGAGTTTGCAAATCCCCCCCCCCCCCCCTACTTGTAAGAACAGCGTGCCATCAAGAGGACTGGCTATAAACACCCGAATGATGTGTTGCCAATTGGGGCGGAGGGCGGAGGGGGGGGTGGGGGGGGAAGGGGGGGAGCAGGGTGGTGAGCGGACGGGTGAAGGAGGGGTGTGGACCCTTACCTTGTTAAGCTGGCAAGTTGCTTTCAAGAACTAAACCTTAAACCCTAAACCCTAAACCCTAAAACATCAAGCATCAAGAATCGTGAAACCCTAATCTGGCTCTCTTAAACAGGGACCTTATTCAGAGGGTCTATATCCTCAAGGGTCCCCCGAATCCTATCCCCTACTCTTGGGGCCCTGAGCCACCCTTGAAAAAGAAGGATGACACAGCTCAAAGCAAACAACTCCACCGATTTGGAGTTTAGTTTAAGGATTCGGTATTATATATAGAAATATATATATATATATATATTCATATCTATATATATATATATGCATATATATACATATATATATATATAATACCAAAGAGACTAGTAAAAGGGGCCCTCTTTTGCTACTTTGCCAAGCCTGGGTCAAGGACACGGCCATGTTCCGTGGAGGTGGCACCAGGAACATGGGAGCCATCATGCTTCTTGGCTACCTAAAGTTTAGGGTTTACGGCCCTAAACCCTAAACCCTAAACCCTAAACCCAAAACCGAAAACCCTAAACCCTAAACCCTAAACCCTAAGCCCTAAACCCTAAACCCTAAACCCTAAACCCTAAACCCTAAACCCTAAAGCAACAATTGCTTAAGAACCCCCCCCCCCCTCCAAAAAGAAAAACAAGCAACAAAAACACACATTCTTCCTTATAAGGGTAATATACGGATTATGCTCTCTTATTTTTATGCGGGGTTCTTAAGCAGTTAGCAGTTTGCCCAATATAGCCAAACCAACCTACTTGGAGGTTCAGAGTACTTGTAACCCCAATTATGCCAGTACTTATCAGCCCCTAAGTCATCTAAGTAGTTTAGAAGCAGACTTAGAACTGGGGTTTTACGTACCCATGAATCTCCAGGCACTTAGCCAATGCCTGAACTTAAAGCTAAAACTTTTGGGAGTTTCTTATGTAGTAGGAATAATAACGTTTAACCCTTTTTCTTGCCTGGTTTTGGCGACGTGATTTTTTCCCCTGAATCCGCACAGGCCGTGTAAAATACACCCCCGAGCTGTATCTTCCCACGGCAGTACTTTCAAAGCCCATGTAATCTCCATTAGGATTTACGTTTTAGGGTTTAGGGTTTAGGGTTGAGGCTCTTCGGGGTAGTGTAGAGGGAGCTGCGGGATCGTCAGACTGGGCTGCACCTCAGCCAAAGCCAGGCAAGGGTCAACAGTCGGTCCTTAAGCTGCGCGTGGAGAACTTAGGAACTTAGGGCTCAGGCTTTGGGCTTTGGGGTTTAGGGTTTAGGTTTAGGGTTTAGGGCTCAGGGTTTAGGGTTTAAGGGCTTAGGGTTTAGGGTTCAGGGTAGTTTAGGGTTCAAACCCCAGAGCCTACGTTCTAGAAGCCCGGAACCAGGGCTCAGACCCCTAAACCCCAAACCTTAAACCCTAAACCCTAAATCCCAGGATCTACGACCTCGTGCAGAGCAGCTTCCACGTAACGTTGCAAGACGCAGATACGGCACGGAGGACGGCTCTTGACTTCGCACATGCAGACTGCACCTAAGGGGATCGTGGAAGGTTTTTTTTTTTGTTTTCGTAAGTTTTTTAGGGTTTAGGGTTTAGGGTTTTGCGTAGTCCTTTCTTAGTCCGTTTCCAAGAAAAGTTGGGATGTTATTTTTCGGGGTTCCAAGTCCGTATAGGTAGCCTCAAGTACCCATCGACCACGACCCGGGATTCGACGACCCTGGCTTCGACGACAGAGGAGATCACCACCACTGAAGAGCAAGAGCTGACATGGAAAGAAAGGTTCTCTGAGCGCGGAATAGGTCGCCTTCTAACCTTCCGGGGCAGTCTATAAGCCTCTTTGAAACCCAACCTTAAGCTTGTCAACTCTAGAGAACTCGAAGCCCTAAACCCCGAAATCCCGAAACCCCGAAACCCCGAAACCCTAAACGCTACTCAGCCACTAAAGCTCATGGTGCTCATTATCCAGTTTCAACTGTACCTATAATCCACTTATAAGCCCCTTAAGTGCCCTAATATGGTGAACAAGTACAGTCATATGTACAGGTACAAGTACAGCTGCAAGTACTATGAACCTTCAAGTAATACTATGAACCTTCAAGTAAGGACTAAACCCTAAACCCTAAACCCTAAACCCTAAACCCTAAACCCTAAACCCTAAACCCTAAAGCCTAAATTTAGGAACCTCCGGCTCAGGCCGCCGACCCAAGAGGCCCGAAACCTCCCAACCCTCAAAGCCGGAAATTGTTGTTACCCTAAAGCCTAAACGCTAAACTCTACACCTAAACCAGGGTTCGGGGGTTTGAGGACGTGTTGTGGGAATGGGGGGGTAGAGGCTTCGAACGGTTGGAGTGGTTGGCGTAAGGTTGCAACATAGGCCCTTCTGGGTGGGGGTGTGGGGGGAAAAAAGGGGGGGAGGGTGGGGGTAGGGGGGGGGTTTGGAGGGGTTTTGCCAAAGGAGCCCTGGGGGTGGGGGGGGTGGGGGGGGGTGGGGGGGGTGGGACCCTAAACCCGAAACCCGAAACCCTAAACCCTAAACCTTAAACCCTAAACCCTAAACCCTAAACCCTGAACCCTAAACCCTAAACCCCAAACCCCAAACCCCAAACCCCAAACCCTAAACCCTAAACCCTAAACCCTAAACCGCCAAGGTTCATGACGTTCTTTGGCTTGTCGGAAAGCTTGCTGGAGAGCGGTGAGCCCCAGGATGTCCCGACGATCCCGATCGAGTGCGAAGCCCACCTGACCCCAGAGGAGGCAGGGTTTGGGGTTTGGGGTTTAGGGTTTAGGGTTTAGGGTTTCGGGTTTAGGGTTTAGGGTTTAGGGTTTAGGGTTCAGGGTGTAGGGTTTAGGGTGTAGGGTTTCGGGTTTTCGGGGTGTAGGGGTGTAGGGGTTTAGGGGTGTAGTGGTTTAGTGGTTTAGGGGTTTCGGGGTTTAGGGTTTAGGGTTTAGGTTAAACTTTAAACCAAAGAAGGGGACCCTTTGTGTTCCGGGCACCCTTTGTGTTCCTAGGTTCCTCTCGGGTCCCTATAGTCCCTAGCCCTCAGCACCCTAAACCGGGGTTGCAATTTGCGGGGGAAGGACGAAACTCTAAACGCTAAACTCTGGACCCTAAACCCTAAACCCTGAACCCTAAACCCTAAACCCTGAACCCTAAACCCTAAGAGTTCCCCATCCAGGCACGAGCCCACGAGCAGTTTGTGCGCTCAATCTTGGCGGAGGCTCCATGGAGCAGGTTTAGGGTTTAGGGTTGTAGGGTTAAGGGTTATAGGGTTAGGGTTATAGGTTTATAGGGTTATAGGGTTTAGGGTTTAGGGTTTTGGACAATTTTCGGGAGTGTGGGGTTTGCGGAGGTTGCGGAGTTCAGGGATTTCAGGGAGTCGGGGCGCTCAGAGTCTTCGCCCCCGAATGCGCAAATGGCCTGGGGTTGAGGGGTTTAGGGTTTAGGGTTTAGGGCGCCGTGATGATGGGTGCTGTTGCAGCCGAGGTCAAACCCGATTTCCTACACCCCAAAACCGAAAACTCTGAAACTCTGAAGCCTGAGCAAGCAAGCGCCTTCAGTGGAACGTATCTCGGCTCATGGATACAACCCTGAACCCTGAACCCTACACCCTAAACCCCAAACCCTGAACCCTGAACCCTGAACCCTGAACCCTGAACCCTGAACCCTAAACCCTAACCCCTAAACCCTAAACCCAAAACCCTAAACCCTAAACCCTAAACCCTAAACTCTAGCCCTAAACCCTAAACCCTAAACCCTGACCCTGTAAGACAGCCAAGGCTGAAGATATGGGCTTCGAGGCGCGCAAGATCATCGACCTCGAGGGAGAGGCCGTGGCTGGGCTGCTTAGGGTTTAGGGTTTAGGGTTTAGGGTTTAGGGTTTAGGGTTTAGGGTTTAGGGTTTAGGGTTTAGGGTTTAGGGTTTAGGGTTTAGGGTTTAGGGTTTAGGGTTTAGGGTTTTGGGCTTAGGGTTTAGGGTTTAGGGTTCAGGGTTTAGGGGCTTCAGTCTTTAAGTCTACTCGGTACCAGGGTTGTGCTTGAGGGTTCAGGGTTTACTGGACCACCCCCCCCACGATGGCGGGCCATCCGTGTAGGGCTTATTCGGGCTGGTAGTTGAGGGTTCAGGGCTTTGAGTCTAGGGCTTCGTATTTGGGGCTCACAACGCCCGAGACCCTGATAACAACAAAACCCGGAACCCGGAACCCGGAACCCGGAAAAACCCTGAACCCTAAACCCTAAACCCTGAACCCTAAACCCTAAACCCTACACCTTCCCGCAAGCCGAGGAAGTGTGTGAAGATCCCAAGGCCGTCGAGATCGACAACTGCAAGTCCATGACCCGAGACATGATCACTCTCAAGGACTGCTAGGGTTTAGGGTTTAGGGTTTAGGGTTTAGGGTTTAGGGTTCAGGGTTCAGGGTTCAGGGTTCAGGGTGTAGGGTTCGTAGGGTTTTGGGGTTTAGGGTTTAGGTTTCAGGACTTAGGGCTTAGGGTTTAGGACTTAGGGCTTAGGACTTGGGGCTTAGGGCTTAGGGTTTAGGATTTAGGATTTAGGGCTTGGGGTTTAGGGTTTCGGGCTTAGGTCTTAGGACTTAGGGTTGCTGGGTTTAGGGTTTAGGGTTTAGGGTTTAGGGTTTAGGGTTTAGGGTTTAGGGTTTAGGGAATGCTTTTTTTTGGTTCTGGGTTCCTAAGCTACTTCTACCTAAAAAGCATATACTTTTGTTTTCAGGGTCTACTCCAAAGGAGGGTGTGAGGTTCTTCGGCTTAGGACTTAGGGTTTAGGCTTAGGGAAAAGGGGTCGGAATTAATCACCATTATTCCCTACCAGAATTCCCCAAACCCCAAGACTCTATTCTAATTATTGAGGGCCCTATATTCGCTTGTTTTTAAGGCTGCGATCTTACGTAATGGGGTGCTCGGGTTGAGGGTTCTTTGTATAAAATGCGGGTGCAGCTGAGGCAATGTTCCCAAAACCATGCCCCTGTGCTCCCTAAGGGCATGGTTTAGGGCATTAGGCTTTAGGCTTTAGGGTTTAGGGTTTAGGGTTTAGGGTTTAGGGTTTAGGGGCGTTTTCGGGATTGGACCAAAAACCCTAAACCCTAAGCACCCGCCCTAAGACCCCATGGCCCCAACAACACGCTCTGCCTGAAAGCCCAAAGCCCGAAGCACGCGATTCAGGTCAGAGGTGAGGGGGAATCGGTGGAATCCTATCGTACCTTTTCCCCACCCTCGATGTGGGGTTAGATTTTCAACTCTTCTCCTCGCCCCCATCTGCTCCTCGCCCATCACCCATATCACCCCAAAGTGTTTCTGGAGTGCCTAACCCCAAAAAAGAATTCCAAATCCAGCTACATGCGCCCTTAAAATGGTCCGTTACCTCCCTTGAAGTATGGGCCCTTGGGTTGTTTTGGGTATATAAGGGGTACAGAAGGGGTGCCCTTTTAAGGGCCCATACTAAGGGACCATGTAACTACCCTAAGAGCTTAATCGTGTAGGGGTTTAAGTCAGGTTTTGGGATGCTCCACTACCCCACTCCCCCCCCACTCCGAGCTCTTCTCCTTTCAAGGCTCTTTTGGGGGTTTAGGGTTTAGGGCTTAGGGATTAGGGTTGAGGGTTTAGGGTTTATGGTTTAGTGTTCCGGGTTTCACAGTGAAGGGTTTAGGGGTTTAGGGGGGCGGTAGTAGAGGGAAGTCCTCCGATCTCATCGCTTTCTCGCAGGTGTTCCGAGAGCTAACAGGCAACCGGGAGGCTGGGGTTAGGGTTTAGGGTTTAGGGTTTAGGGTTTAGGGTTTAGGGTTTAGGGTTTAGGGTTTAGGGTTTAGGGTTTAGAGTTTAGGGTTTAGGGTTTTGGGTTAGGGTTTAGGGTTTAGGGTTAGGGTTTAGGGTTTAGGGTTTGGGTTTAGGGTTTAGGGTTTAGGGTTTAGGGTTTAGGGTTTAGGGTTTCGGTTTAGGGTTTAGGGTTTAGGGTTTAGGGTTTAGGGTTTAGGGTTTAGGGTTTAGGGTTTAGGGTTTAGGGTTTAGGGTTTAGGGTTTAGGGTTTAGGGTTTAGGTTTTAGGGTTTAGGGTTTAGGGTTTAGGGTTTACCCTCCCAGCCCCGAAGTTTGAGGGACCAGGTTGGCTTTTGTGAAGACCGATTCGGGTGTAGGACTAAGGCGTTCGGATTTAGGGTTGAGCTAGGTTTGCTGCTGCCTTATAACACACCCCCAGCACCCACTCCAGAACCCTAACCCTAAACCCTAAACACTAAACCCTAAACCCTAAACCCTAAACCCTAAGCCATAGACTCTAACTGAAAGCTAGAAAGCCCCACAGCCCTGGACTCGGCTACCAACTTCAATCCCTTAAACTTCAGGATTTCATGGTTCAGGGTTTCGTGGTTCAGGGGTTCAGGGGCTCAGGGGTTCAGGGGTTCAGGGGTTCAGGGGTTCAGGGGTTCAGGGGTTCAGGGGTTCAGGGGTTCAGGGGTTCAGGGGTTCAGGGGCTCAGGGGTTCAGGGGTTCAGGGGTTCAGGGGTTCAGGGGTTCAGGGGTTTAGAAGTTTCGGAGTATAGGGGTTTGGGGGTTTAGGAGTATAGGGGTTGAGGGTTTAGGGTTTCGGAGTGTAGGGGTTTGGGAGTTTGGGGGTTTTGGGGGTGAGGAGTTTAGGAGTCTAGGGGTTGAGGGCTTCAAGGGTTCAACACTCTCGTGAGATTTGTTTCATCGCGGAGGCGGGCGAGACCCCGCTTGAGGACGACATCGTGGCTCGTGAGGACGAGCTCGAGCCAGTCGCGCACCCGCAGTGAGGTGGCGGAGGGCATATTGGTTGGGATGTTCCTTATACTAGCAGTCCTTAGTAGGGATTGTAGTACCCCCTACTCTCATCGCTATTAAGGACTGCTAGTATAAGGGGGAACATCCCAACATTTTGGTCTAAAACCCTCAGGCGTCCCCCGAAAGGCCGCCCTGCCGCGCGACCGCAATGAAAAAAGCGACACTGCCCAGCTCGTTGTCCACCGTAAGCGCGAAACCCAAAACCCGAAACCTGAAACCTGAAACCCTAAGCCCTAAACCCTAAACCCTAAACCCTAAACCCTAAACCTATACCCTAAACCCTAAACCCAATTTTCAACTCCGGGCCTGAACAACAACTCGAATGGCACTTTCGAAGATGGGGATGCTTTGATGCTCCCAAATACTCCTGGTCCTTTTACATGAAGGACCCTGGGTCTTGGAGTACTATACTTTAATACATTTTTTTGGTCTTGGGCTCCTATTATGGCTAATTATACCTAAAAAGTATATACTTTTTTTCCAGGGCCTACTCCACAGCTAAGGACCCCCCCCCCCCCCCCCGCCAAACAAAAAGCAAAATCACTCTTCTGCCTATGCCTAAGGGCCGATGTACCTAACTAGGGAATACTTGGGCCTTACGTACTTCCTATATAGGGACTGCTGGTCCCAAGTATGTAACAATGAGGTGCATGGACGCGTAGGTTAATATGTAGAGGCCGATTTGTTTATTCAGGGTTGAGGGTTCAAGGGCTCATTTAGTTAGAATATGTATGTTGGGTAATGTGGACCGCAGTCTGTGTGATGAAGCTGAAACAGAGTGTTTTTGTACACATTCAAGAAGCATACTCTAGGGACTGTCAAGAATGCCTTGCAAAGGAGCTCCAGTGGTAATAAATGAGTTCAGCTCTTCAAGGTAGGTCGTGTCAGCAAGATCCGTAGCCTGCGGGCAAGCTGTGGTAACAGTCTGTGGCACAAGAGTCAGCGTCTTGTGTGGGGTTTGGGGCTTAGAGGTTGAGACTTTTGGAAGGCGCATGATCCGTGCATTCGGGAACCGGAACCATTTCTTCACTCTGTGCTTGGCACGTAGTTTGAGACTGTGTCGCGTACCCTAAACCCTAAACCCTGACCCTAAACCCTAAATCCTAAACCCTAGACCCCAAACCCTAAACCCTAAACCCTAAACCCGAAACCCGAAACCCTAAACCCTCAACCCTAAACCCTCAACCCTCAACCCTCAACCCTCAACCCTCAACCCTAAACCCTAAACCCTAAACCTAAACCCTAAACCCTAAACGGCCGAGCTCCCCTCGCAAAGGCGACGGTGTCCGGAGCGCGAAATGCCATGGCCACAGCTTCCGTTACGAACGACCTGCAGACGCCCATCGAGGTGGCCGTTCAGGTCGACTGGCGTGTCCTATATCCCCAGAAGTCCTGCGACGTCGGAGTGTTGGAGGCTAGTGCTTTCTCGACTTCAAGTGGCCCCGAGTTTAAAGGGGAGGCCTTGATCCAGGTTCGGCTGCGCGAAAGCCCGGGGGTGAGAGGCAGCTGCCTGGCAGCAGGAGGCGCATCTTTGAAGGCCTCAGTGGACTTTGGGGCCTTTTCCCAACGGTGCAAAGGCCGCGACCGAGCCGAGGCACGGGAACTGGCCCGTGAAGGAACACGCCGCAAGGAGGCACAGGAACGGATGGACATGATGATCAAAGAAGCCGCCACCAAGAAGCGAAACAAAAAGGCATGGCATACGTTGAAGCGCACCGGGGCTTTCGTCGCAATCCTTTTAGCCCTCCTCCTGGTTTGCGCGGCCATTCCGCCCGAGAGCGAGGTCGCGGCCGCGCTGCTGGCCAGCGCGACGGTCCCGCTGTGCGGGCTCATCCTCTGTATAAACATCTGTGCTGCTTCGACTGCAGACAACGCTTTCAATTTTAGAAAGTATGCACTCTTCTTCCGTCTTGGCTTCTGGTTCGCATGTCTCCTTGCTTTGCTGGCATTGGTCGCTATGTCGGCTCTGCACGCCCTGCAACGATACGTGTATTCGTCAGTTCTCGTTTCGGCTTGGGCCGCTGGTGGCATCTTTTGTTTCTGTTTTGTGTCCTGGGACTCAGCCTGCGACCCGAGAGGACTGAACAAACACGACAAGAAAGTGTTGAAACGAGAGCGTAAGGAAGCTCTCTGCGAGATCAGCAACCGAACGATCCGGTTCGAAGGCTCGGTGATCAGCTGGCCACGTGGCCGCCCCTGCGTGGCCAGCTGGCCGGGGAAGTACGCAGGGGCCTGAGAGTCACTGGTCTCCCAGAGCCGGGACGGTCAGGTGAGTGCAGCTGTCGTCTTCCTCCCGGAGGGCACGGACGACTATGGCAAGTGCGACAGCATCCCCGAGGCTGAAGGCTTGCCCGGCAGCTGCTGGTGCACGCCGCTCTATGGGGAGCAGAAGCCATGGGGCTGCAGGTGGTTTACCAAATGGAAGGAAAACATCGAAGTCGCCGTCGCAAGCGGTGCACAGCTGGAGGTCTACTTCTTCCAAAGCCAGGTGGGCCAGGGCAAAGTGGAGAGCTTCGGATCTGCAGGCGAGGACAACCTGCGGCGAGAGAAGATAAACCACAAGCAGAAAGAGTTCGAGGAGTCCCTTCAATTCCAGCAAGCGCTGGCCGCAGGCGTCGGCAATCTCTCGAAGGAGCCGCGCGGCGACGGATCCTCCCAGTACAGCCGAGAAGTGCGGCGTTTGTTCCTCGTTTCCCTCCCAGAGACAGAACGCGAATTTATCACGGCCTCAGAAGGGCTCGGAAACTCCCAAAAAGCAGAAGTGGCATGGCTGGAAAAGAAGGGCTACGAGTACTGGGGGGTGGACGTCGCCACCTGGCTCCCCGGAGAAGGAGCCGAGATCTGTTTCTCAGCATCTTCGAGGAAGAATCCTCGTCTGGATGGTCGACAAGATGACTTCCCTTCAATTTGTGTCCCCATCAGCCCGCCTTGTTAGAGGCTTCTGCGGTCATATCCTGCAGACTTTGTCATGTCCCATCCCTGAGCATACCGATGACGATCAGATGCATCCCGCAACTTAGGAACCCTAAACCCCCAAACCCTAAACCCTGCTACATGGCCAGCGCCGACTGGTGTTTCACCCTTTCGCTATCCTTGGGGACTGAGGAGGTAATCTTTAGCTTTTTGGGGCTTCCCGACTATAATTGAAAAGTTAACCGTTAAACCCTAAGCCCTAAACCCTAAACCCTAAACCCTAAACCCTAACCCTAGACCCTAAACCCTAAACCCTAAACCCGCTAGGCTACTCAGCCCCGAAGTACCTTTGAGTTTCAAGACGATGGCCCAGACCGAGCTTTTGAGAGCAGAATGATGAAGCTGCGAACAAGAGATGCGTCAGAGTTACCCGAACCGTTTAGGGTTTATATAGGAACCCTAAACCCTAAACCCTAAACCCTAAATCCTAAACCCTAAACCCTAAACCCTAAACCCTAGGGTTTCGGGCTAAATCTTAAACCCCGAACAGAACCCTGAGCCAGAGGGGGGTTTTCCCGTATAGTTGTTGCAAGTTATCCAGATCCAAATCTTCATTGCTGAGGGTGAGCCATGGAGACACTAAGTGGAAGCTGCAGCACGGTAGCAGAAGCGATGACATCTCCATGCAGCACCAGACAATCCTAAACCCCGTCCACGGTACACACGAGATTGGGAGTTGTCGAATTCTGGCCTCGTGCATTGCCGAGAAACCATCATTTTTCCATGTCGTCCCTATATACCAGAATAAGAATATGCAGCCGGAAAAAGTCTCCCGTTATGGTCAATATAAACGATTCCATAAAATACCCGCAGACCCCATTCCACTACTCAGGCGAAACCACCCCCTTCCAGCCAGACTGTCGATCACTCCAACCACCCTTTTGGAATTTTAGGGTGTGCACACCGTGGCTTTAAGTGGCTTCATGTTCTTCTCCAGACCAAGCAAGTGACCATCAGGATCAACCTAGCTACCCGCCCTTGACCTCCAAACCCTAAACCCCAAACCCTAAACCCTAAACCCGAAACCTTACACCCGTAAACCTGCCTTTCAAAGCCAACGCGCTTCGTGCTGGCAGCGCCACATCCATAAAGACGCTGAGGCCTTCCTCGACGCCGCCCTGCTACCATCCTCCCAATATAGCTTTGTGGTACTTTACTGTAACTTTAGATCCTTACCTTTTTGGGTTTATTGGGATTCTTATTAAGGCAGCTAAAAGTCTAATTTATAGCTACCTTCCTGAGTGCAGCCAAGATAGAATCTGTGGTATACAACATATAGTTTGTAAGAACCCTTTTCAATATGTAAGTATATTAGAACCTGTGGTATACAACAAATCATATAGTTTGTAAAAACCCTTTTCAACATGTAAGTATATTCTGGGATTCAGCACGTTCCCCAATGTCCGCCAGAATCGCACCGTACACGGCTGTCTGGCACAAGCACATCTGGATGAAGCCATGAAGCCTATCTTCAGGCGGTCGTCTGGCCCTCAAGGTGACAGAATCTGAAAGACTTGTGCTCATGCATATTTTGGACGGGGAACTTATGTTATTCCTAGTAGCCCTAAACCCTAAACCCCAAACCCCAAACCCTAACCCCAAACCCCAAACCCCAAACCCCAAACCCCAAACCCTAAACCCTAAACCCTAAACCCTAAACCCTAAACCCTAAACCCTAAACCCTAAACCCTAAACCCTAAACCCTAAACCCTAAACCCCCCCAAAGCCCCACATGGCCTCCTTCTGCCGAGCAGCGGCCCACCTCCGGGCGCCGGTCCGGTTTCGGCGTCTGGGGACGGTGGACCTCGGCGCCTACCCCATCCGGGATCCTGGCTCCACAGGCTTCCTGGAGAGGGTTTAGGGTTTAGGGTTTAGGGTTTAGGGTTTAGGGTTTAGGGTTTAGGGTTTAGGGTTTAGGGGTGTGTAGGGGTGTGTGTGTGTGTGTGTGTGTGTGTGTGTGTGTGTGTGTGTGTGTGTGTGTGTGTGTGTGTGTGTGTGTGTGTGTGTGTGTCGGGTTTCGGGTACCTCCCAAAGTTTTTGGGGGGGTGTTTCCTATGCTTAGGAGTTTCTGGGGTCCAGAACCATTGTTATCAACGACCTGTTAAAGCTCTGAACCATGGCCGAAGCTCTGAACCTCAAGCCCCAAAACACCCCCCGGGCGCAAGCGCACGAGAGTTACCTTGTGTGGCCGGTCCTGCAGGTTACCAGGCACTGGTCTCGCAGTGCAAGGGCCTCATCGCTTCGTCCCTTGGAGGCTACATGGGTATTTCCAAAAAATTCGAGACCCTAAACCCTGTAAACCCTACACTTGGTTTTTTTGGGATCAGAGTCATGTCTGTATGTGATTCACTTTTGGGTTTCGCGAGTCCAGGGACCGGTTTTAAAGTTAGGGTTCGGCGTTTCGGGCTTAGCATTAATTGCTAAATTTTAGCGTTCCGAGTTTACTTTCAGGGTTTAGGATGTAGGATGTAGGGTTCAGGGATAAGCCCTAAACCCTGTAAACCCTGCCCTACGCCTCACGGGCGCAGGGTTTAGGGTTTAGGGTTTAGGGCTTAGGGATTAGGGCTTAGGGTTTAGGGTTTAGGGTTTAGAATGCTAAATGCTTTTTAGTCCCCCAAGGTCCGGGTACTGCCAGCTGGATGGCTTCGTACTCCCCGAGACGGTGCGGGCGATGTGCGCGGAGGCCCGCCAACTGCGGAGTCGGGGCTTCCTGGCTGCTCTTACTTAAAGCTCCTCAACCCCCGAACATAGAAACCCAGAAACCCTAGAAACCCTAGAAACCCTAGAAACCCTACACACTATAAACCCAAAGCCCAAAACCCTAAACCCTCAACCCTGCCGGAAGCCCAATTTCAAGGCCTCGGCTTCACGTCGACGAACGTCCACAACCTCTTGCTTGAGGCTGGATCTTCACTGGGCCCTTGGGGTTTAGGGTTTAGGGTTTTAGGGTTTAGGGTTTAGGGTTTCAGGGTTTCAGGGGCCATCCTAGTTGAGGTCGAGGTAGTTTGATATTCTCTCCCTGGATAGGATTTGGGAGGAAGCGGTTTCGGGTTTAGGGTTTAGGGTTTATAGGAATATCTTATCAGAGGGCTGACAAGGCCAGCAAAGGCGATGACGTCACCGCGGTGAGTCGCAACTGCGCGCAAGCATGTCTGGTGGCTGCCGGCCTGAGCGATGTTGGTGTGCGCGCCAACCCTGCAAAAAGTCATGTGGAGCAAGGCATGGTGAAGCTTGAGCGGTGCATGGTTACGAAGACCGGATTCAATCATTCCATGGCTCACTGGTGTGGCAACATGGTCATATCTGAGCCACATAAGGGTCTGTTAGCCGCACGGTTGAAGAGCCCACCCAACTGGTGAAGGAATCCGTGTATGATTTGATGTGGCATTTGCTTTCCGGGTGCTCAAAATAATGCTACGCATGTGATGATTGTCTCAGCTGAACTCGGCTGGATTGATTCAGTGAACGAGTTGCAGAGGAGCTGGCCCGCTACTTTGGGAGGTTTGGGATAGGGCTCTGGTGTAGGTTTTTGGGTGGTTATTTGGCTGGAGCCTAGCCTAGGTTTCCCCTGGAAGTTTCCCAGAGCTTCCCTCCCACCCCCACCCCGGCGTCGCCTCGGCTTGCTGAACGGGCCCATCCCCACCTTGTTGCTGGTGTGAGGGAGAGCCAAGGGGAGGGTGCCCGCCGCAAAACCCTCCAACACGCCGCCCAGTGTCGGCGGACCCTAAACCCTAAACCCTAAACCCTAAACCCTAAACCCTAAACCCCAAACCCTAAACCCTAAACCCTAAACCCCAAACCCCAAAACCTAAACCCCAAATCCTAAGCCCTGAGCCCTAAACCCTAAACCCTAAAGCCTAAACCCCAAATCCTGAACCCTGAACCCTGAGGTTCAAGAGTGAGGCTAATGGGCCTCGCTGAGGTAAACATGTGACATTCCTTACGTTTCTAAGCGTTTTGGGGTTTACAGTTCAGGGTTGTGTTTAGGGCTCTACCTTCCTCAACAGGGTCTGATGTAATTCTGGGTCCCTGGGTTGTATGTATATAGGTGTTTATACAAGGGCTCCCGAAGAAAAGGCAGCTAGATGGCACCACCTGAGAGCTGTCGCTGCGGTGTCCCTAAACCGTAAACCCTACACCCTCAACAACCCTACACCCTAAACCCTAAACCTACACCCTACACCCTAAACCCTACACCCTACACCCTAGCGAAAAAGGCACCTGCATAAGTTCTGTGCTCAGGCCGAGGAAGAGTCAAGCAGCGCTGCGCCCGCGTCTCCACGGGCCCAGGTCTTCCACAGCAGCAAGACCCTTGAGCTGCCGGTGTAGGGTTTAGAGTTTAGGGTTTAGGGTTTAGGGTTTAGGGGTTTTTTCGGGTTTAGGTTTAGGGGGCTTGGGCTTGCGGCTTTTGAGGGTTTATAGGGTCAGAATTGATAGGGTTTAGAGGGTTTGCAGGGTTTAGAGGGTGGAGGGTCTAGGGCCTAGGGCTTAGGGATTGCCCTAAGGGTCCATGTACCCTATTTTTCTATACTTGGGCCTCCAAGTCCCCATAAAGGAGGTACCTTAAGGCTCAAGTATTCCGTGTTTAGATACATGGACCCTTGGGGTTAGGGCTCTAGGGCTTCAGGGATTTAGGCTTGAGGGGTTTAGGGTTGAGGGTTTCGGGGTTCAGGGGGGTTTAGGGGGGTTTGGGGGTCGGGGTTCTTTAGGGGGTGGACATTTAGGTTGTAGGGTTTTGGGGTTCATTTCCCTGTTTTTTCTTCCTGCTTTGTGTAGCAACTCGCGCTTGCTGCAGCAACTTTCCTAAGGGAAGTTACATGGCCCCCTAGAAAAGAAGTATGGGCCCTTGGCCTTCTTGAGGTACACGGGGTAAGGGTTCCCTAAGGGCCAATACACAAGGGACCATGTAACATCATCTAACTGGAAACTGAACCCCTTTCTTAAACCCAAGACCCCAAACCCCAGATTATAAACCTTTTAGTCCCGACAGAAGAGGGTTTGGGGCCTCCAGCGAAGAAACAGACGGCGTACTTCGGGGTCTACAGTGGCTTTCAAGACAAGCATAGCTGCTTCGGGCTATCTTGCGCCCTACACGCAAAAGCCAGAACCCAAAGCCCGAAAGCTCCTAAACCCTCAAGCCCCAAGACCTTGACAACTCTAAACTCTAAACCCTAAACCCTGAACCCTCAAGCCGTAGAACCTTGAACACCCCAAAGGGTTCCAGGAACGCCCCTTGCCACGGAAGGACCCTTGTGGCGATGAGCCACCTCCCCGAAACTTGGCGTGGAGAACAGAGGGTTAGGTTTGGGGTTTGGGGTTTAGGGTTTAGGGTTTGGGGTTTAGGGTTTAGTTTCGATTTTTTCTCAGTGTTCTTTACTGTAAAGAACAGTTCAGGGCCCAACCCTCAAACCCTGAAACCCCCAAACTCCTAAACGGCTAAACTCCTAAACCATGGAAACCCCTCAACTCCTAATTCAACTCCAACAGCCCGAAACCCCAAACCCAAAATATCCCAAAACCCGAAACCCCAAAACCCCCTAGGAAAGCACTCAGGTCTGAACCCTAAGCCCCAAACCCGAAACCATATTAAGGAAAACACTGAGGTAAACCCTAAACCCTAATCCCTAAACCCGAAGCCTAAACCCTGAACCCTGAACCCTGAACCCTGAACCCTGAACCCTGAACCCTGAACCCTGAACCCTGAACCCTGAACCCTGAACCCTGAACCCTGAACCCTGAACCCTGAACCCTAACAGGAAAGCAGCCCCTTGCGGGAGCTCTACGCGGACGATGCCTTGCGCGAGCTGGTGCGGGAGTGCTTCGGGCTGCCACGCCTCAGCTGCTCTGCGGACCCGTGCCTTGGATTTAGGGTTTGCTTAGGGCTTAGGGCTTAGGGCTTAGGGCTTAGGGCTTAGGGCTTAGGGCTTAGGGCTTAGGGCTTAGGGCTTAGGGCTTAGGGCTTAGGGCTTAGGGCTTAGGGCTTAGGGCTTAGGGTTTAGGGTTTAGGGCTTCGGGCTTCGGGCTTCGGGTTTAGGGTTTAGGGTTTGGGTGTTCCCAGAACTTTTAGAACCCCTTAATGCAGCAATACTACTTCAATTGTGTACTGTTGATTTGGGGAATACTATTCCTTAAATCAGGTCTTTTGGAGGTTCAGGGCGTGCTTAGACTGTTTTGTTCTGTTTGGGGAGGGGGGGGGTGGGTTAGGGTTTGGGGTTTAGAATGAGGTTTTCGGGTTTAGAGGTTAGGGCTCAAGGAATACTCAGATTTTTCCAGAGGAGTGGTATGGTCAACAAGCCAAGCGGTACCTCTTGGGTTCTTCCTTTACCAAACCTCCAACAGAAAACTGAACACCCCTGCTATCATGTAGATACTGGTTAGGGGTTCTGTCTAAAACGCACTGAGTTCTCAGGGTTGGGGGGGGGGGGGGGGGGGTCTCCCCTGAACCCTACTCGCCCCTTGAAACCATACCTAGGCTACTCTTGGGTCTAGGTTCAGGTTTTAGGGTTTAGAGGTTTAGGGGTTTAGGGGCTTGGGGGTTTAGGTGTTTAGGGTTATGAGGGTTTGGGGGGCGTTTGGGGTTTAGGGTTTGGGGGTGTTAGGGTTTGGGTTCTTTCAGCCACACGGGGTGTCCCCGCCATGACACTTCCTAGGCATGGGGGCGTCTACTACAACTTCTTTGACGAGGGCGATGCCCTTTGGTGGGCTTGTCGCGAATGGAGAGGTCAAACATTCACAGCCATGAAGCCTAAAACTAAGCCCGAAGCCACCCTAAGACCTAAATCATGAACCGGATATTGTTAAGAACGCACAGCCCTGAACCCTAAACCTAAAGCCATCAAACCTAATCCATGAACCGAATTTTGTGAAAGCCCAGTTTTTCCCCCAACTCCTCTGCGTCCAGTCGGTGCGGAGGTGGCATTGCGATAGATCGCACTTCTCCGTGAACCTGACCCCTGGCTGCCTTTCAGAACCCTAAACCCTAGCCCTAAACCCTAAACCCAAAACCCTCAAGCTTAAACTCCCGAACCCTGTCCTATCCGCTGCCCCTAGTCCTTAAACGCCACAACCCCCAAAACCCCGAAATATAAAAAACACAACCCTCCCCCCCCCAAAACAAAGAGAAATCAAAGAGTCACAGCAGCCCCACCTCTTACTAGCCCCATTGCCTTTGCTTTAGGGTTTAGGTCCCCTAAAAGCCCCTTTAAACCAAAAACCCTGTTTACTCCTAGGATACTCGGTTCCCTTATAAGCCCCTTTAAACCAAAAAGGGCACCCTTTAATTCGTCGGTTACTCTTGGGTCTAGTAGCCCTAAGCCCTAAGCCCTAAGCCCTAAGCCCTAAGCCCTAAGCCCTAAGCCCTAAGCCCTAAGCCCTAAGCCCTAAGCCCTAAGCCCTAAGCCCTAAGCCCTAAGCCCTAAGCCCTAAGCCCTAAGCCCTAAGCCCTAAGCCCTAAGCCCTAAGCCCTAAGCCCTAAGCCCTAAGCCCTAAGCCCTAAGCCCTAAGCCCTAAGCCCTAAGCCCTAAGCCCTAAGCCTAAACCCCTAAACCCCTAAGCCCCTAAACCCCTAAACCCCTAAACCCCTAAACCCCTAAACTCCTAAACTCCCAAAGCCCCAGCTCTTAAGGATACTGCAGACGGCGGAGGGTGGGGATTTCGAATTCATCCCGGCGCTCCCAGCTGCAAGTCGGTGTGAGGGTTTCAGGTACACGCAGGGTGCAGGGTTTAGGATTTAGGATTTAGGGTTTAGGGTTTAGGGTTTACCCTAAACTTTAGGGTTTAGGGTTTAGGGTTTAGGGGTTTAGGGGTTTAGGGGTTTAGGGGTTTAGGGGTTTAGGGGTTTAGGGGTTTAGGGGTTTAGGGTGTCGGGGTTTAAGGTTTCGGCTGAGTTTAGGGTTTAGGGCTTCAGGGCTTTCGGGTTTTGCTTTCGGGCTGTAGGCTTCTAGGCTTCTTAGGGGATAGGGCTTCTAGGGTTCGGGGTTTATGGCCTAGACCCTCAAACCCTATGAATTCGGGGTTGGCACGGCCAGGCCAGTAAGCTCGGCCTCCCCTGTCTAGCAGCCAAGGGTCTCAAAGCCATGCGGCCTGACCAAGAAGTGGTTGGACGTATTTTGTAGTCTGTCTATACCGAGAAGTAGCTAATATGAGTCCTAAGCCCTAAACCCTAAACCCTAAACCCTAGACCCTAAACCCTAAACCCTAAACCCTAAGCCCTAAACCCTAAACCCTAAACCCTAAACCCTAAACCCTAAACCCTAAACCCTAAACCCTAAACCCCTAACACACACCCAGGAGTCCCGGCACCTGGCGGATGAGATAGGGACCTGGGCAGATTTGGCAACTTGGATTCATCGGATTTTGTCGGCTTAGGGTTTAAGGTTTAGGGTTTAGGGTTTAGGTTTAAACCCTAAACCCTAAACCCTAAACCCTAAACCCTAAACCCTGAACCCTGAACCCTAAACCCCAAACCCTAAACCCTAAACCCTAAACCCGAAGCCCTAAGCCCTAAGCCCTAAACCCTAAAGGGGAACTAAGGAGAAGGATCTGCAAAGGAGAAAGAGAGTTCCAAAGCTGAACTCTGGGAGCATCTACCTCTTCGCGGGGAATGCCTCCTTCCACCGCGTGTCGCCGGTGACGTCTGGCACCTTCCTTGCCCAAGAATTGAACTTTGAACTTTTTGGGTTTCCTGATTTAGTAGGAGTCATAAAGTTTAACCTTTTGAAACTTTTTGGGCTCCCTTATTTAGTAGGAATAATGAAGTTTAACCTGTTTTTCTCCGCTTGGTTCTTGGGAGAAATAAGGCACCCGCATCAACGCGATTCTGACGTACAACGTCGAGGAGAACCATCCCTGCCGATTGCTTTTGACTAGCTAGGCTCTTGTGTGTTTTATTACTATTATTACTATTATTACTATTCTTACTATTAGTACTATTATTACTATTAGTACCATTATTACTATTATTACTATTATTACTATTATTACTATTATTACTATTATTACTATACAGTATAATTGTTTTTTTGTTTTTACTATTTTGTTTTTAAAAATATTTCTGCGTAGTGGGCTTCAGAGGAGCATCTTCTAGGACCCAGAGTAGGGTTTAGGGTTTACAGTACCGTATTACCCCAAGCCCTAACCCCTGAACGCCAGGCAAGCCCTAACTACATATATATATATATATATGCACGCAGAGATTATGGTTGACCATCTTTCGCTACCTTGAGACTGCCAGAAATAGGAACCTTAGGGCTTAGGGTGAGATATGAAATTTAGTTTAGGGTTTAGGGTTTAGGGTTTAGGGTTTAGGGTTTAGGGTTTAGGGTTTAGGGTTTAGGGTTTAGGGTTTAGGGTTTAGGGTCAGGGTTTGAGGTTTGAACCCTAAACCCAAACCCAAACCCTAAACCCTAAACACCTAAACCAGAGCGTGTAACAGGAGAACCAGCGCCTGAATGCGTACACGCTGAAGCAGTTCTTTGGGATAGACCAGGACACTGGCGGCAACGCATGAAGTCCGGCTGCCCCCAAACTCCATATAAACTCTGAGCCTATGATCAAACTTTATAAGGCGACCTTAAACCCACAACCCTGAACTCAAAACCCGAAACCCTAAACCTTCAGAACTCACTCTAAGCCCTATACTTATAAGGTTCGCATTTTCTGGAACTTTTCGAGGGTACACTAAACCCAAACCCTAAACCCTAAACCCTACACCCGACAAGCGGCAGCTGGTGTCTTCGGCTGAGGGCTCGACTCCATGTCGCGCGGAGCGGAAAAGTCTGAGCTTTGGGGGCAGTCTGAGCCAATGGCTCAGTATAAGCCCTATGCGGTTTAGGGATTAGGGTTTTGGGGTTTAGGGTTAGGCCTAAGCCCTCAGCCCCCAAGCCTTTAAATAAGCCCACCAAGCGCCTAAATCCCTGAAGAGTCAGTTGGAAGGGCACTGCTGGACAACTGGAGCCTTGTCTTTCTATCATGCCTAGATTTCTTCAAGTTGCATCTGCCACGCACGTTATATGACAAAAAGAAAGCGGTCAGGCCGGCAGAATGTTAGTCGGCGCATACAGTCAAAGGACAGCAAGCCTTTCTAAGTTTGAGTACTGTTGAACGGATGTGGTCCGACTTCGGTTTCTTGTCGGTGCATGCAGGCGCATGTATTCAGAAAGCATTGCATGGCTAAGTAGTGTCTGACATCGAAATCTGCCAGATTGCTCAAGGCCATTGCCGGTTCTGCACCGGCAGAGACCGCTGTCTTGCAGCCTTAAACCCTCAACCCTGAACCCCAACTCCTAAACTGTTGCAGTGACCCAAGTTTTGTTCGCTAACATCCCGGGCATAGGCATGGTTTCCAATCATCTTGTGGTTGCTGCGCAAATGCTTGGCCCCCTGGTTCTTAGTAGGGAATAAGGGAATGAGGGGCCTACAAAGACTTGTAAGGGATCCCTAAACCCTAAACCCTAAACCCTAAACCCTAAACCCTAAACCCTAACCCCGAGCCCCTAACCCCCAAACCCTAAACCCTAAACCCCGAAACCCCTAATCCCCGAAACCCCCAAACCCCTAAACCATTTACATAGGGTACCTCGTTCCCTCAGTCCCTACTAAGAACCATCCAGTTGGTGCAAGACGGACATGACACTCCCGCAACTGCCTTGTTCTAAGGGTGGAACCATGTTGGAACCTGGGCCCTTAGTATGGTCCCTTACCCTGGCTTTAAGGGATCTAAGGGGATCGTGCAGTATGGGCCTTTATGATGTACATGTGCATGTAAGGGTTCTATAGCAGGGGACCCAAATTCAGGGCCCACACTGCGGATCCCCGACTTGTACCCGCGTCAGTTTCAGCTTGCGCCATGGTGTGTCACCCTAAACCCTAAACCCTAAACCCTATAAACCCTTAACCCTTAACCCTTAACCCTCAACCCCAAACCCCAAACCCCAAACCCTAAACCCTAAACCCTAAACCCAAAACGCTAAACCCTGCGCTGTCTTGCTCTTAGAGCCTTAGAGCTGCGTTCTGGGTGCTAGCTGAGTGTTAGCTGAAGCCATATCAGCCCTTGCTGGCGCTTTGCCTCAGAGATGAGTTCCGAGAAGGAATCCACAGCAGGTGCCGCAATTGATTCAGCTGACGTGGTGCTCACTGAGCAAGTTTGGAATGGATTCAAGACCTCCAGCGGCCTGATTGTGAGCCAAGTGTATCGCTTGAATGGCACCGAAGTCGTAGACATCTTCACGGCAGAGACGCAGTCTGTTTCTCCCCTACCTTTCTCTGGCCTTGGGCTGGAAGATCTCAGGCCGGATGCAGAGTCCTTGTTGCCCGGGCAAAGGCGGAAAGTCGAGGGCTGGAACCTGCAATCCACACTTCGAAATGCCTTTCGCGTGCTCGCCGCGCGCCCAGCCCTGGGGCAGTATCTATATCCCCCTTGGGAAGTATTTTGTTAATTTGCGTTTATATCAAACCCAAGAGGATATGAAAAATACCATTCTCATAAAGGTTCTAAGGGGAGAGTAAGGGGAGTGTAGGTACGTCAACGGGGAGCTGCTGTGGACCTCCTGGCAGACGCTGGATCAGCGCAGCGCAGATCTCGCCCGCTTCTTGACGAGCATCTTGCCGAAGTCTGCCTGCGTAATCCTGTGTGCACGAAACTTACTTCGCCTTTAGTTGAACTTTAAACTTTTTTGGGTTTCCTTGTTAGTAGGAATATGAAAGTTTAACCTTTTTTTCCTCTTGGTTATTGGAGAAGTAAGGAAACTCGGTCGACTGGATTGTGGCTCTGCTGGCCGTTGTGCTGGCAAATTGCATTGCGGTTCCCATTCACTTCCTCGCGAGCGATACATTTCGTGAGGCGGTGGTCGCGGAAGCAGATGTTCAGGCTGTGTTCACCGACGCACCAGGCAACTGGAAGTCTGCGACCGTTTTCGACATCGGCAAGATGTGCGAGATGGAGGCCCAGGGAGCTAAACTCAGGAAGTCTGATGAGTTGCTTTGGTAGCACAGTGGTGCCCTTTTGCCTTTTTCTTTGGGGGTTCCAGGTTCCCTCATAAAGTAGCCAACCCCGAAACAGGGTACGCTTTACCACATTATGGTTACGGGGGGGCTAGCAAGGTTGCGAGACGCTTCGTTGAGCTCATTGAAGCTGAGCATGCAAGACTTGCTCAAGGACCTTGGCAACGTGCCCAGGACGTCCACGCGCAGCGCGCAGCAACTAGGGCCCAGAGTAGGCCCTTATTCCTTTTCTTTAGGGTTTAGGTTCCCTTACAAGCCCCTTTAAACCAGAAAGGGCGCCCTTTTTATTCCTAGGTTCCTCTTGGGTCTAGGCAAGCACTACAAGCATTTCTGGCACATGAGAAGTGGGACGATGAGCTTGGTCAGCTCATCGTGATGCTTGCAAGAAACGACATGCAACTTTGGTAGGCCCTTGGGATTTTTCCCCTTATTGGATTGAAGAGGGTCGTATTCAGGAATATAACCCTAAACCCTAAACCCTAAACCCGAAATCCGAAACCCTAAACCCTAAACCCTAAACCCTATATTATAGGGTCTAGAGGGTTTGAGAAGGGGCCATCTTAGGCAATGGGCCGCGGCATTGGCAGCACCTGGAGTAGTTGGGCCACTGACTTTACGTGAGCTGGCGGAGAGTTGGGTGAAGCCAGCCCAAGCACGCGCACAGTGGGAAGCAGTTGGAGAGAGATTCTCGATACAAACGGGTTTACGAAGTTAGGGGTACCTTATTGGGGTTCTTATTGTAAAGGAATCCTACTATTTAGGGTAAACTCCCATGTATTAAGAGGAGGAATACACCTTTTTCTCACACTGGAGTCTCAGGGGGTGACTTGAGTCGGTGCTTTGTTTGGGTTTGTGGACCTTTTCCGGCGATGTGTGTGCGGAAGCCAGGCTTTGGCGATGTTTGGCTGACAGCTGTGCTGGAGGCTCTTTCTCGTCAGCGGCGACCTGACAGCGGCTGCCTGGCGTACGCTTTGGCCCTGGCCAGGCGGCAGACGTTTCTTGACCCTTGGGTGGTCGAGTTGGCGTGCCGGCTGGCGGCCGTCTTGCCTCATCACGCACAGCAGTCCTGGTTCGACTTGGCAGACAAAGTGGCTCCGGCAAAGGTTGGCGCGTTCTACGAGGTTCTTTGCGCTGCGCCCTTGCGGTCCAGCAAGGGAGATGCCACAGGGCTCCCGAGTGGCATGTCCTTTCTGTTTCTTATAGGCTCGGCAGAACTTCCCCAAAGCAGCCGCGTGTTTTGGGGTGCCGTACCAAAACAAAGGGAGAGCTGCGCTTGTTGTTCTGGGAGCCTAGGCTCAGGACATTGTTTACGAATTGCCCGAGGGCTCGGTGGTGGAGGTCTTGCAGGTGAGCGGAAGTGCCGTGCAGGTTGCTTGCGAGGTTGCGCAAGGATGCTCGGTAGCCTCAAGGTTCCCTTTTGGGGGGTTTACGAATTTAGGGGACCCCGAATATAGACCCCCCAAATAGTAGGATTCCCTTTTCATAAGGATCCCAAAAAGGGAGCCCCCCAACTTCGGAAAACCCCAAACCCTACACCCTAAACCCTGAACCCCAAACCCGAAACCCTAAACCCTAAACCCTAAACCCCAAACCCTAAACCTAAACCTAAACCGAAACCTTAGACCCTAAACCCTATGGTCACTAGATTACCAAGGATGGCTCGATCTCTGGGACAGCGCCGGCGCGCCCGTCATGGATGAAACCATCCCAGAGCCGATTGCGATGATCCTCTACACCAGCGGCTCAACGGGCCTTCCCAAGGGTGCACTAGTCACCAGGTAGGCCCTTGGGACATTGTTATATATTTGGCCTGATTGGGTTGAAGAGGGTATCATTTAGGAATGTAGGCCCTTGGGACATTATATATATATATATATATTTGTTTTAAATCCCCTCATTGGGTTTAAGAGAGGGTAGGATTTTTAATATTTTTTCAGTGTCTTAAGGGACATCTTAGGTCAAGAACAGCGCGCTGAATAGGTACATGTGCAATAGGATAAACACTGGCGACAGTGATTACTCTGGGGTGCACATTCATGGAGCTCCGCTCTCAACGTCTGCAGCTCCTTACAACATCTTTGGGAACATCTTGGGGGGTGGCCGCACGGTGATTCTTCAGGAGGGAGGCCAGCTATTTGAGGTTGCGCCCTCCGTTGGCCCAACCCAGCTGGGCGGCGTTCCCCAGATGTGGGCGCTCCTGTACAAGCGCTTTCAGGACTACTATGTGCTTAAGAGCCCCAAAAAAATGACAAATAAAGATCCCTATATTGCCGTGATAAGAATATTTTGGAAATATTTTTGGGGGGATTCTCAAGCAATTAGTAGAGGATCGGCTGGCGTCATGCGATGTGGCGGGGGCAGAGGCCCTGCATGAAGAGGCCAAAAGTTGGCTGGGGCCAAGGATCCGCCAAATCAACTGCGGGGGAGCCTTGCCGTGCCCCGCGGTGATGCGCTGGCTCCAGAGCACCTATAGCTTAGTAGCTGAGTGAGTACACTTTATACACTTTTTAAGGGATACCTGTAATCTCTACAAAGGTAAAAAAAGTGCACACTTTTTTGAGGGCTTCTGAACTCAGCAACTCAGGAGATGCAGAGGTGCATGAGAATTATGGTCTCACTGAGGCGGGAGGCATCACAGCTGGTGCTGCAGGCCAACTGCAGACCATCAAGGATGGGGTCCAAGTGCGGCTGGAAGATCCTTGGGGACCAAATGAACCCTAAAATTTGGGTCTTATACCCTATACTACTATAATTCCTACTAAGGTGTATGAACCATAAACCCTTTTAGGGTTCATTTCGTCCACAAGGATTTCGGCGTGTACAAGGGCACGGATGTGCCGCCGCGTGGGGAGATCTGTGTAAAGACGCACCGCATGGCTGCCGGGTATTTGAGCCTTAGGTGCTGGGTGGGCAACCTTTGACCTTTTTGGGTACGAAAAATCCTCCGAAACACCCAAAGGTTCACTTTTTCCCCGAAGAAACGCAGCACGTAAGGAACCGCCCCGACATCACGAATGAGACCTTCACGCCCGATGGCTTCTTCCGCACGGGTGACATCGGCGAGATGCCAGACCCCAAGCACTTGCGCGTGATTGATCGGAAGAAGGCGTCTAGGTAGGCCCTTGAGATCGTTTTCACATCTTCTTCCCTTCCCCAAAAAACCCTTAAACCCTAAACCCTAAACAACCCTAAACAATCCTAAGCCCTAAACCCTAAACCCTAAACCCTAAACCCTAAACCCTAAACCCTAAACCCTAAACCCTAAAGGCCTTAAAGAGGATCTTTTTTTTTCTCAGAATCTTCTGCCTCGAGAGAGGCGTTCTTCAAGCTGAGCAACGGCGAGTGGGTGTCGCCGGAATCTGTGGAGGCAATCCTCCTGGAGTGCCCCGAAGCCTGGTAGCCCAGCGGTACCCTTTACCCCTTTTTTTGGTTCTGGGGTTTAGGGTTTAGGGTTTAGGGTTTCTCTCTTACAAAAGTAGCCAACCAAAAAAAAGGGTGCCCTTACAATAAGATGGTTACTGGGCTAGCAAGGAAGTGAAGCAGGTCTTGGTGCATGGAGACTTGGCAGCCCAGTGGTACCCTCTACCCTTTTTTGGGGGGGTTATGGGTTATATAACATATAAAGTAACCAACCCCAAAAAAGGTGCGCTTGATATAGCATGGTTTGCTGGGCTGCCTTGGAGACTCTGCGTTGTTTTGGGTTATGGCTTCCCTTATAAATGTAACTAACCCCCCCCCAAAAAAAAAATGCGCTTATTCTAGTATGGTTGCTGGGCTGCCGAGGAGACTCTGCGCATGATTCCACCGTGGCTGTAGCTGTTGCAAGCGTGCCTGCAGAGCAAGTGCTGGCGGCCTTCCGCCGCATCATGCTGCAGGCGGGCGCTCGGCATTTTGAGACGCCCAAGGCGGTACATGTCACGTCGGAGCCCTGGGATGCACGGAATGGGCTCCTAACGTCAACAGGGAAGCTCTGCCGCAGGAAGATCTTCGAGGAATTTGCAGAAGCTATCCGGGAGATGCTGGAGGCAGGAAGGGAAGATGGCCAGATAGAGCATGAGGTCGTGCGATTGATTCGGCTGGGAACTGATGAGGAAGCGTGGCAAAACCTTCATCTGACCAGCGTTGCAGCCGTGAGCGCAGCGCACGCCATCAGAATTTCGTTTGGGGTCGACGTGTCGGTGATCCACCTGTTGCAGAAACCTCCACTGGTTGCGATGAAGGCACACGTCGAAGGCAGGCAGCCACTTTCCCTCAGCACTCGTCAAGAGCTCGTGGGCTTAGGAGACTTCGTCCCGAAGTCAGGCGACAGATCCTCCAAACTCTTCCTGACGGGGGCAACTGGCCACGTAGGTGCATGTGTGCTTCAGCTTCTCGGTAGGCCCTTGGGGATAGTTTGTATTTTCCCTCATTGGGTTTAAGAGGGCCCTAAACCCTGAACCCTAAACCCGAAACCCTAAACTCTTCAGAGGGTCTTAAGGGCCATCTTAGGCTTGTAGTGACAGCCTCTAAGCTCCCAGTGGCGGCCTTGGTGCGTGGCCCGTCTCATGCTGCGGCCAAGAAGCGTCTCCATGACACCCTGACGCGGCGTGGCTACCTTGAGGCAGCTGAACAGGTGCAGGCGGACGGCGTGCAAGTGGTTGCTGGTGATCTGTCGGAAGAGTGCTTGGGGCTTCCTGAGGAGGAGTTCCGTGATCTTGCAGGAGGCGTCATACTTCACGTGGCCGCAGAGGTGCACCACTTGCAGGGCTACAGTGCTTTGGAGGCCACGAATGTTGCAGGAACCCGACGCCTCTTGAGTCTGGCAACTTTGGCACCCACGAAGTTTGTGCTGATTTCGACCGAGTCTGCACAGGAATCTCGCAGGGCCTCCGGGTATGGACACTTCGTGGTACTTTACTGTAACTTTAGATCCTTACCTTCTTTGGGTTTATTGGGGTTCTTAATAAGGCAGCTAAAAGTTTCATTTATAGCTACCCTCCTGAGTGCAGCCAAGGACAGACGAAGCACGCAGCAGAGAGCCTTGTGCAGGAAGCGCTGTCCCGCGGCATGCACGGCAGCATTCTTCAGCTTGGGATGGTGGGTCCGGACCGCGTGACCGGGGCATCTTTGTCATAGTTGGGTAAAATTTTTGTTGCAGTTCTAAGGATGCTTAAGCCCAAGAAGGAACATACAATTTAAATGTTTAATATTATCGCAACAATGAACAAGGCGTCGAATGTGCAAGACTGGCTCGTTCGCTACGTCTTGGGCACGCTTCAGCTGGGGGTTTGGCATGGGGCTGGATGCTTACGGCTGTTTCCGTGTGAGGAGGTTGCCAAGGCGATTGTGGCTCCTGGGCAGCCCAGGTGGTACCCTCTACCCTGTTTTTGGGTTCTGCGTTTCCCTTGTAAAATACCCTAAACCCTAAACCCGAAAGCCTAAAGTCTAAACCCTAAACCCTAAACCCAAAAAAGGGTGCCCTTATTATAAGATGGTTGCCGGGCTACCAAGGCTCGCATTGATGACGATACCTGCAAGCCTGCTGCTTGCTTCTTGCCCTCTGCAGTTCTCATGGGCTGGGTGGCCTCATCTGGAGTCCTTTGTCGCCGGATTCGCCACTTGGTAGGCCCTTGGGATATGTTTGTATGTCCCCTTATCATCTTCAGGAATGTTTTTGGCTCCGTGGATATTTTTGTATGTTCCCTTTTGGAGTGAAAGAGGATCACCTTGAGGAGTCTTTTTCAGAAGGCTTTACTTGCCATCCCAGGCCAAGTTGCTCTCACAGAATGGCAGGAACTGCTTGAGGACCTGCCGGAGTCCAACCCCATGTTCCCCTTGCGGCACTACTACTGGAGAGGCTTGGGCAAGGACCTGACAGAAGCAGGGCCCTATGGCTACGATCAAGATGTGGTGGACCGCATGTTGAGGTTCCTGGATCGGGAAGGCTTTTTCCCGAAAGCCTTGCTGCAGAGGACCATGTCAAACAGCAGGGCATCTGACATTCCAAGTCGTCCATCGCTGCATCGGAGCATCTCGCAATCTTCAGCGCGTGCAGGGAACGACCGAGGTGCATGAAAGACATTTTGCTCCTAGGTAGGAGAAGGGGGGGCCCTTAAAAGGGAACCCGTCTTAACCGTCTTCTGGCTCTCTTAAACAGGGACCTTATTCAGCGGGTCTATATCCTCAAGGGTCCCCCTCATAAACCCTAAACCCTAAAGCCTGAACCCTAAACCGTTTTTCCTATTTGCATTTGCAAGATGCCACCTTCATCTTCAGCGGCATTCACTTGCAACTCAATCGGGTCGAGTCAACGTCATTTTCTCTTTCGAATCTAGCGGGTACAGAGATGGGGCACCTGCTCTATAATTATATATATATGTATATATATGTGTATATATATATAGATGTATATTCCATAAATACATAAATATACACACACACACACACCTCATATGGTACCTATACAACCCCAACGCCCCTCATATTCACGAGGTCTTGGGGGGACTGGGGTGCGGGGGGGGGGGGGGGGTTGGTATCCAGATACCGAATCGTCCACCCCATGTAAGGCTCTCTCAGCCCTTTTGTAGGGGAGCCTTTCCTGCATTTCTAGACTAGTCCGCAGAGAGACCGCAATAAAGGCCATCATGGCTACCCGGAGGGCCCCCCTTAGAATACAAAATAGAGGGTTTCGGGCTTCGGGTTTAGGTTATCATGACCTCATCGTCACCTAAGAAGGTACCGCCAGTGTTTCAAGAAGCGTCATACTTACAACCCAAAGTGATTGGAGCTCCGTATCCCCTGCTTGGAAGCCATTGTGACATAGTAAGTCCACTTAGTATCCCCCCCCAGAAACCTTCTCAGAAGCCCCATAACTGCCCATAGCCCAACTTATTAACCTACTTACTTATTGCGTCGAAAGGGACCCGAATGTTATTCCCTTGTATAACCTCTGTATATACCTTCTAGAGTCCCTATATGCCAAAGTAGCCCCAATGTAGCCCCTAAGGTCCATTTTCAGGGGGACCTCGTAGCATGGATGTTTGGGTTGAGGGTAGGGTTTAGGATTTGGGGTTTGGGGTTTAGGGTTTAGGGTTTAGGGTTTAAGGTTTCTTTGCGATGCGCCGTCGATGTGCAGGGCTCGAGTGGCGCCAAGAGCGACTTGGTTTCACCCGGCCGAGGGCCCGAGGCCCTAAACCCCAAAACCCTAAGCCCTAAACCCTAAACCCTAAACCCTAACCCCTGAACCCTAAACCCTACCCTCTAAGCCCTAAACCCTAAACCCTAATTACCCTCAACCCAAGCATCCAACTCCCCGCAAAAGCAACAGACGAAGCCCCGCATTTCCAGGGCATTTGGGGGCTCCGAGCCAAAGCGCCAATGTACGGTTGCGGGACCTACCTGAAGAGCCGGCAACTTAACCTTTTTCCATTTGCTTTTCCTCCAGCCCCTTGCGGGGTGTTTCGGCGGCCGCAGCTGCAATTTGTCTCGGGTTCTTACAAAAGCGCTGATTATGGATCGACTTGAGCCCAAGCAAGCTACACCCTCAACTCTAAACCCTAAACTCTATAAACCCTAAGCCCTATACCCTACATAAAGCCGATATAAACCTTTACAAACCCTACGTAAATCCTATATAAAGCCTGGATAAACCCTACATAAACCCTGAGCCCCCCAAATCCATGGAGTAGACCCGTGCTCCATATGCGGCGCCATGGCGCCCTCGAGACAGCGGCGCCGTTTGCTTGGGGCCACTGAGCTGCCTTTGGGGTCTGAGGGTTTAGGGTTTAGGGTTTAGGGTTTAGGGAGTATGTTCTGGTTACTATCACTCCTCAAAAGCTGCACATATCTTCCTTAGCAAGATCAGCCAGCTCAAGCATAGAACCCCTGGAGACTCTCGTACTTGTAATCCTGGAAGCTCCAGAAATCCTGGAGACAGTAGGAACCTAAACGCCAGAAACCCTAGAAATCCTCAACCCTCGAAACTGTAAAGCCCTAGAAACCCCAGAAAGCCTAAACCTAGAAACCCTAGAAATCCTAAACCCTGACAACTCCAGCCACCCCAAACCCAAACCCCTCGAAACCCTGAATTCCTGAAGCCCTAAACCCTAAATCCTAAATTCCAGAAACCTTAGATTCCGGAAACCCTAAACCCTAAACCCTAAACCCTAAACCCCAAACCCAAATCCCTCGAAACCCTGAAGGCAAGCAGCGCCAAGGGCAAAGCCAAGGCGAAGGCCAAGGCCAAGGCCAAGGCGAAGGCCAAGACGAAGGCCAAGGCGAAGGCGAGGGTTTAGGGTTTAGGGTTTAGGGTTTAGGGTTTAGGGTTTAGGGTTTAGGGTTTAGGGTTTAGGGTTTAGGGTTTAGGGTTTAGGGTTTAGGGTTTAGGGTTTAGGGTTTAGGGTTTAGAGTCTGGGGTTAGGCCTTAAGTTTAATGCGGCACGTAGGGGTGTATAGGGTTAGGGTTTATAGGGGTTAGGGGCGTAGTAGTGTCTAGCCCCTAGATCCCCTACTTGGAGGTTCATGGGTACTTAAAACCCTAACTATAACTATGTATAACTGTACTTCTAAGCCCCCTAAGTCCCCTAAGTAGGTTTGAAGTAGACTTGTAAGTGGCGTTGTAAGTACCCATGAACCTCCCCCAGTACAGCCCTCAAAGACCTAAACCTGAACACCGAAACCCTAACAAAAGTTCGACCGAGCGGGCCTATAAGTAGGTCTTCGGGTTTTCGGGTTTTAGGGTTTTTGGGTTTAGGGTTTTGGGGTTTTCGAGTTTTAGGGTTTTAGGGTTGTAGGGTTTTAGGGTTTTAGGGTTTTAGGGTTTTAGGTTTAATTCAACGCCCAACCGGAATCAACGCCTGAGCCTTTTGCGCCAGGGATGGCGGCGCGCCCTGAGAGCTGCTCCGGTTGCCGGTGCACTGGGGAGGGGGGGAGGGAGGGGGGGAGTTTGGGGTTTGGGGTTTGGGGTTTAGTGTGAAGGGGCTTGGGGTTTGGGGGTTAAGTACGGGTTAAGCCCTACACCTTGACACCCTAGCAAGGTTGGCAGGCCTGTCTAAGCCTTATCGCCTCGGAAGCCTCAGGAAGTCTGACAGGTCGGGGTGTGTCACGTGGGCGTTCGGGCTTTATAGGGTGTAGGATTTTAAGGGTTTAGGGTTTCGGGTCCAAATCCTAAACCTGGACCCCAAAATGGGCTGATGATTTAGGTTGTTTGGGCTGTCCTTCACCCAGAAGGTATGCTTGATGCCTCAAATCAAGAGTCTATGGTGGCTTGTGGTTTTTTAAGGTATACGGTATACGGGTTTAGGGTTCAGGGTTGAGCCCGAAACCGGCATGAGTCATTCACATGCACGTTGTTATTTCGGTGGCGATGCTTCTAAGCAGGCATCACTAAGATCTGCTGACAGAGCCCCTAAACTAAAAGAGCCAAAGCCCTCCTTCATCCCGATTGTTAATGATAACTTTCGACCCTACAATTGCCCCAAACCCTCTTTTAATATGGTTTCTTAGGCTAGTCCTGGGTCCCTAAACCCTAAACCCGAAACCCCGCTTCCTTAAGCTAACCCTGCAAAGCTTCCTGGCTGGGCCGGGCCCACTCGAAACCCTGAGGGCTTGGGGTTTAGGGTTTAGGGTTTAGGGTTTAGGGTTTAGGGTTTAGGGTTTAGGGTTTAGGGTTTAGGGTTTAGGGTTTAGCCCAGAGTGCCCAAAAGTCCTTCACAGGTTGAGGACAGTTTAGGGTTCAGGGCTTAGGGTTGACTGGACACCTTCGGCCCTCAACCCTAGGTGTACGGTGCTCTCCCCCAGTGCTCGGCCTTTTTCCGCGGCCATTTTTCATCTCAGAAAGAACAAATTCATTTGGCCTCGAACCGCGCGTGAGTGGGGAGCCTAGTAGGGTCTGAGGGTTCGGCTTTTGAGGTACGTGGGGGGCACCCCCCAGCCCCAAACATAAGCCAGAAGCTAGGTTCAGTGCGTAGGCCCTGAAAATCCGTAATCTCTAAACT